AATTAGTATTGCATGTAGCTGCAGCCGTGATTATAACATAAATTTCTATTGATCGAATTTAATTAATAAGAAGAAAAGTTTATTATTCACAATTATGTATATTCATGCCCTCACAAATTAGTATGAACAAAATTAAAGGTGATGCGATTTTAGCTTTCATGAAGTTGTTGGTTGGTTTATCATGAATGTTTCTTAAAAGCGTGGTCGGGCCAATTTATGCAATCATAGCTTTGTCTAAAGACGCAACCCGAAGGGATTAATATTTTGAACGAATGGCCTAATAAACGGCAAAAGTCGGACCGGACCCTACGAGAGTTTGATGTGTTTCAAGGACTAATTACGACCACCCCTGAGGTTAAATCAAATTACAAAAAAAAACCCTCATAAAATAGTTGAGGGGTGGTTGTAATTACCCAAACAAATTGGGTGGTACGGTTTTTTCGTAATTTAATTTTACCTCAGGAGGTGACCGTAATTTGCCCTAAAATTTATTTAAGATTCACATTTACTGCAGTTAATTTTGGATGTTAACATTTTAGTTACCGAACTGAACAACAACAACAACAACAACAACAACAACAACAACAACAACAACAATAACAACAACAAAGGGGAAAATACATATCAGAATAATCCTTGTAGATAAAAATTGAATAAAAAAATTTGAATTTCGTCCGATTTTTTTATTTTTTTTTTGAATTCTGGAAATTTGGAATTCTTATTTTCCAATTTAACCGGAATAGGAATAATTTTGTTCAAGTAATAAAACAATTCCAAAAAAAAAATCATTTGTCTAAAAAATAGACTACAATATTGTTGGTATTATATTTTTATATTATATATAGGTGAACAAAATTGAAATTGTTTATTTCCGTTGGTTTTGATTTGATTTATTTTATTTTTGGAACAATTTTTTATTCGAATTTTCAGTTTCTTTTTTGTTTTTTGAAACATAATTAAAACTAGTTTTTCACTTCCGAGATAATTTGATAGTGCAATGGGGACTATTATATTTAGCATATTATTGTTTGTTTTTTTTTTTTTGATAAAATTTGTCATATTAATATATTTATTGTGAACTTAGGCAATAAGATGTTGTCTTATTTAAAATTGTTATTTTTTATATTAGGAGATAAGGGAACTAAATTTTGGGTGATTATAGTTCATGTGGTGCATCATGATTCATGCATGAGGTATTCTCATTAGATAGTGCACAAACAGCATAAGTATATATAAATGGACATTTGTAGAAGAACGAGTGTTAACTCGGTGAACGAAACGAGAGCATAACTCGGTGTGTGGAAACATCCTCCGTGGGGGTTTGTTGAAGATCAACGTGTACGCGGTATTTTACATTTAGCAATGTCGTCGCGCGGGAAGATCAGTAC